AATAAAATCATATGATAGCTATCATAATAACATATAATGCCAACAAATAACTTTAAGGTAAATGGCAAATGTGATGCATGATTTTAATTTATTAAATTTATTTATTATTGGCTTAAGGCTTAATTAAATCTCGGGTATTACACTCTGCGCATGATTTATGCAGAAAATTCTCGCACTCTTCGGAGATGCAAGAATAGACTGGACCCGACCAATTCGATTGGCATCCAAAGCATTTAGCTGCCGTTTTATTACTATGATGATGCTCATGATCATCCACCACCAGGATCATGGGTTGCTGATGGCAGGCAAATTGAGCAACGCCATGATCTTTGTAGCCATCAACATCGGATGTTATTGTTATGGTTGGTAGTGGAATCATAGCACATTTCATATGCATGTAGAAATTATCAGAGCACGAACTTTTACATGCACAAACATAGTACTTATAATCACTTTCAAAGGGCTTGTCGCAGTAATAACAACAATTAATGTTGTCGATCAATGGTACCTTTTTAAGCCTGAGACGATGTTGAGGATGTAATGCGTGGTTGATTATGAATTCTGGCAACTTCGCACATTCTTCGTGGACGTAATATCTGCATGGCTTGCAACCGTACTTCCACTTAAATATTTGACCACATATTTCGCAGATTGCCGTTGAGAATGACCATATTTTTTGCAAAGCATGCTCATGACTGAAATGTTTAATTGGAGGAAATCTCGCTTCTCTCGAGTACTCCATTTTTTTTCCGGGTAAATGACAAGAGAGTGCAACTTATGATTTTGTACAAGGAAATTAGGAATATATCATGTCTAGTGCTTCTCGCTAAGACTTCTATTTATACATGCTCCAATACCCTTTGTGTATATGCTACATTTTTTTTTTCCTGAAGGTGTGTATATGTTAAATTTTAAGAGACTTTATTGTGTAGATATTCTTTTAATGGAACCTTAACTATAGAAAGTTATAGAAAAGAAGTTTGTAATATTCGATATATATATATATATATATATTTATACATATATAACTTTTTTGCTCTCTCACACAATATCACATTTCAACTCGAATTAAAAACTCGAATTAGCGAACCGAACAGATCATAATTTTACCAGCAAAAACGAAAGCACTTAAATATAATTCCTTCTCAGGGAAAAATTCATTCCTACCGTCTTACTTTATTTATTTCTTTTTTTCCATCCAAGCTCCTCATGAAAAAAAAAAAAAAAAAAAAAAAAAAAAATAACCCTG